TGAAGTAACATGACGACACAACCTTCATTTACTCCAGTCCTGATCCCCTTGCTCTAAATGCCACAGTAAATACTGAGCTAAATAAAGTCCATCTGTGGCTAACTGCCAACAAACTCACCCTTAACATTGACAAAACTTTCTATATTCTGTTTGGCAATAAATCCTCTAATCAAATAAATCTCAAAATAAACAATACCCAAATTTGCAACAAATTAGATGGCAAATTCCTTGGCATTCTCATTGACCACAAGCTGAATTTCCAGGGACACATTCTAAACATGTCAAAAAAAGTTTCAAAAACTGTGGGCATTCTTTCTAAGATCAGATATTATGTACCACGCCCTGCCCTGGTGACTCTCTATTACTCCCTTATCTATCCATATCTCAACTATGGTATTTGTGCTTGGGGCTCTACTACCCAAAATCACTTACGTCCTCTAATTACTCAACACAAAGCTGCTATTAGGACAATATCCAATTCTGGCCTCAGACATCACTCGGTACCCCTATTCAAATCCCTGAATATGTTAGACATTAAGTCACTGCACATTCTCTCATGTGTACTATACATATACAAAACGCTAAATTGTAATGCCAATCCTGATCTCAAAAGCTTCATAGAAGGTTGTAACAGAACCCATGAGCACCACACCAGAAATAAATACAGTTTTGATATTCCTAGAGTACGACTTAATCAAACCAGAAATGCTCTACAAATCAAGGGGCCCAGAATGTGGAATGACCTTCCCAACCATGTTAAAGACAGTACCTCTCTCAACCAGTTTAAGTTAAAAACGAAGCTATACCTAATAAATTCCCTGTAACCTACCTTACCCCTCTGTTGTCAACCCATGTATGTTTTTTTTTTTTTTTTTTTTTTTCAAATCAACGCTGTTTTAATGTAATTTTCTGTAATAATTTGTAATTGTATTTGTGCTGTTTTTTCAACAATGTTCCCCCCTCTTTTACCTCTATTTTTATTTGTACTCAACGCATTTTTTTCTTTTTACCCATTAGTTTTAAGCTTTAGTCAGTAGTGTTTTTTCCTGCCCGAAACGCTTTGCGTAATAGTGGCTTTAGGCATTGTATGTACTAGCTCTATCTATAAAGCCAACAAACTTTGTAAAATCTCTTTATGTATGTACCTTTGCCTAAATAAAAATTATTATTATTATTATTATTATTATAAATAGAAGAGGTCCTAAGATACTGCCCTGTGGCACTCCAACGGTAATTAAATATAAATAATAAATAAATAAATGTTTATTTAGGTAAGGTACATACATACAAGAAATTTTTAAAAAGATTGGTGGACTTATAGATAGAGCTAGTACATACAATGCCTAAAGCCACTATTACGCAAAGCGTTTCGGGCAGGAAAAAACACTACTGACTAAAGCTTAGTACTAATTGAGCATAAAGAGTAAAATGAAAACAAGAATTGAAAACATAGCTGAAAAAGCAGCACAAATACAATTCTGTCGACAAACAGCGCTCTTTAAAAAAAACAGACATTGGTTGACAATAGAGGGGTAAGGTAGGTTACAGGGAATTTATTAGGTATAGCTTCGTTTTTATCTTAAACTGGTCGTGGTTGAGAGAGGTACAGTCTTTAACATGGTTGGGAAGGTCATTCCACATTCTGGGCCCCTTGATTTGTAGAGCATTTCTAGTTTGATTAAGTCGTACTCTAGGAATATCAAAACTGTATTTATTTCTGGTATGGTGCTCATGGGTTCTGTTACAACCTTCTATGAAGCTTTTGAGGTCAGGATTGGCATTGCAGTTTAGCGTTTTATATATGTATAATACACATGAGAGAATGTGCAGTGACTTAATGTCTAACATCTTCAGAGATTTGAGTAGGGGTACCGAGTGATGTCTGGGGCCAGAGTTGGATATTGTCCTAATAGCAGCTTTGTGTTGAGTAATTAGAGGACGTAAATGATTTTGGATAGTAGAGCCCCAAGCACAAATACCATAGTTGAGATATGGATAGATAAGGGAGTAATAGAGAGTCACCAGGGCAGGGCGTGGTACATAATATCTGATCTTAGAAAGAATGCCCACAGTTTTTGAAACTTTTTTTGATATATTTAGAATGTGTCCCTGGAAATTCAGCTTGTGGTCAATGAGAATGCCAAGGAATTTGCCATCTAATTTGTTACAAATTTGGGTATTGTTTATTTTGAGATTTATTTGATTAGAGGATTTATTGCCAAACAGAATATAGAAAGTTTTGTCAATGTTAAGGGTGAGTTTGTTGGCAGTTAGCCAAAGATGGACTGTATTTAGCTCAGTATTTACTGTGACATTTAGAGCAAGGGGGTCAGGACTGGAGTAAATGAAGGTTGTGTCGTCAGCAAATAGAATTGGTTTGAGGTGTTGGGAGGCATTTGGAAGGTCATTAATGTAGATGAGAAAGAGGAGAGGGCCAAGTATGCTGCCCTGAGGAACACCAATGTTGATGGGTAGGGTGGGAGAAATTGTATTATTCACAGAAACATACTGGAGCCTGTCAGTAAGGTAGGATTTGAGGTATTGCAGGGAGTGTCCTTGGTAGAGTGGTAGAGTGGAAGAAGTTGTATCATTGATGGTTACATATTGGTGTCTGTCACTAAGATAGGATCGGATGTAGTCAAGGGCAAGGCCTCGGATTCCATAATGCTGGAGTTTAAGTAAGAGGTAGTTGTGATTAACAGTATCAAAGGCTTTTCTTAGGTCAATAAAGAGTCCAATCGGAAACTCATTTTTGTCAAGGGCTGAGTAGATAACGTCAAGGAGACTAATGATTGCATCGTTGGTGCTCTTTTGGGACCGGAAGCCAAACTGGCAGGGGCTGAGTATGTCGAATTTTACGAGGTAGGAATAGAGCTGTTTGTAAATAATTTTTTCAAATATTTTTGATAGAATGGGTAGATTTGATATTGGTCTATAATTGTTTATGTCCGCCGGATTGCCTCCTTTATGGCCTGGCGTTACTCTTGCTTTTTTGAGGATATGAGGGAAGGTGTGACACTCTATAGATTTGTTGAACAGTAGTGCCATGGGTGGGGCAAGGGCATGGGAGGCTCTCTTGTACACAATGGACGGAATTTCACTGGTGTTCCCTGCCTTGGTTTTTAGAGAGTGTATGATGGACACAACATCTGCCGGGCTGATTGGTGAAAGGAGAAGAGAGTTTGGATAGCTGCCTGAGAGATATGTGTTAATATGTGTCTGAGTCTGTGGGATTTTACTGGCAAGATTACCACCAACCGATGAAAAGAAACTATTAAATTCATTTGCCATTTCTAAATCAGTTGACGGTATATCCCCATCCTTGTAGAGTTTTATTTGGTTACGTGAGTGTTGTTTAGTTCCTAGGATACTAGAGATTGTTTTCCAAGTGCTTTTCATGTTGCCTTTTGCTTCATTGAATCTATTCACATAATATGCAAGTTTTGCCTTTCTTATGATACTGGTAAGCATTGATGAGTACCTTTTAGCTACTTCCTTTGAAACTAGGCCAATCCTAACTTTCTTTTCATATTCATGTTTCTTGTTGATTGAGTTGAGAATGCCACTTGTGAGCCATGGATTGTTTAATCTTTTGTCAGTTACTTGCTTGGTAAGAAGGGGACAATGAAGGTTGTAGAGGCTTAGAGTTTTGGAGAGGAAGAGGTTAGCTAATGAATTTATATCCTGGGTATTATTGAATTCAGAATCCCAGTTAATATTGTGAAGTGCATCTGTAAGATTGCCTAAAGCTGATTCACTGTGTAGCCTAAATGAAAGTTTCTTGCTTTTTGGTGGTGTTATGTCCATGTTCGCTATGAGAAAGGTAGGATAGTGGTCAGTTGTTCTGTCGTAGATTATACCAGATACAAGGGGAGCTGTTATGTTTGTCCATATGTGGTCCAAGGTAGTGGCTGATGTTTGAGTGACTCGGGTAGGTTTGGTGATTGTGGGGATTAGCATACAGGAGTTCATGCTGTTAAGGAAATAGTCAACTTGAGAGCAATTTTGTTGACCCAGGTCAATATTAAAGTCTCCTCCCAGAATGATGTGGTTTTTGTTGAGATTGTTGTTTATAATAAGATTCCTTAGGTTGTCTGAGAAAGAAGCTATGTTAGTATTGGGAAATCAATAGATGGATCCAATAGTAAAAGAGGATTTAAGGGATTTAATTGTAAACTGAGCAAAAGTATATTCACAGTAGTCATCTCTGTCACTAATAACACTGTTGCAGATAAATGTATCTCGGTAATATATAGCTGTGCCACCACCTTTTTTATTAGGCCTACAGTTGTGAATGGGTTTATAACCAGCTAAGTTGTAGAGTTGGGTATAGTCTTTATTTAGCCAAGTTTCTGTTAAAATAATGAACGATAAGTTAGTACCTAGTGCTGTGAGTAATGCATTTAAATCGTCAAAATGTTTACCAAGTGATCTAACATTTTGGTTGTAAACTGTTAATTAAAATCCTTGCTGCATGGGTAACAGCTTCTCCGTATCAACCTACTCCGGCTTAGCGCCCTGGAGAGGCCACTCCTTAGCGACAACCAGAGTGCAACCCCATGATCTCCTGAGACTGGTGGATGCCTACTACTATTTGTTGATATAAAACCTTGCTACAACGTACCTTTTTATCTTACCTGATATGTTAGATTAAGAACCTGCCTGAAACACTATGCGTGAGTAAATCTTTAAATCTTATATAATCTCTTTATCCCATTGTACCTTCTTGTGAATCAATTATTATTATTACAATATGACAGTGTTTAGACTACATTTGGTTCAAGAACCAAATAGCCCCAAAGAGTTTATTGTATGGGTGAATAGATGAGTGAGTGTTGCCCGAAACACTATGCATATTAGTGCCTTTAGGTATTGTATGTACTAGCTCTATCTATAAATCCAACATTATGTTTGTAACTCATCATCTATATATGTACTTTTCCTGAATATAATATTTAATTTAATTTTATTTAATTTAATTTAATTTGTGGTGTGTGGCAAGAGTGGAGGCGAGGCGTCACAGTGTAGGAGTGCGAGGTGTGGCCTCTGGTGGCCCCGACCTGCCAGCTCTCACGCCTTCAAAACATCAACACTGTGTCACCTGGAGATGCTGGGGGAGGTCGCCGCTTACCTGCACGAGGAGATTTGCGTGTGAAGTGGACGTTTAGGAAGAGTAGTGGTGTGGTGGGGTTAGAGCAATGGTTGTGAGCGGCCTGAAGCAGCTGTACAGCACCACTTACAGCCAGGCCAGCTGCCCTGAAGCAGCACTGCTTGCCGCTGGTAACAACGAAGGCAAAATTACCGTTTTTGAGTGAGTTGGGATATATTTTGAGCTTCGTGTGATTGACGGACGTTTGGCCACTTTTCCCTGTCCATGATGCTTGTATTCTCGTAGCCGTAAATGTATATACCTGGGAACTAGGCAACTGTTGTGGGTTGCATCCTGGGGATGGCCGGTGGTTGGTCTAGGGTAGCGTCTCTCAACATCGACTCCACTAAACCTTAAGATAACTACGGGTTCCGTAAGATAGTAATAAATAGGCCTTTTCTAATCATATGTAAATATATTTCGAATTCATTTGTGTTTAATTTTTTCTCATTTAACCAGCATCAAGAGCAAAGAAGGAAATCATCAATGAAATCAGTGCGTTTATCTAATGAATTAGGTAATGAACACAAAATTATTTCAGTTGTATGCCCTAGATGGCAATATCTCCCCCTGTTGAGAGTGGCTGGTCTAGGGGAAACATGATAAGCGTAATAGGGTTAATGCCATTGATAATGAGAGAACAATTACCTACATCTATAAATTAGGATGTCCGATTGTCCAAGGTCAGAGGTTGGATGCTTGGGACTAGCCTGAAAACTACAGGGTCATTGATTGCTTTAAGGGGACAATAATCGGGGGTCGGAGTCGGCCCCTTATGATCCCCCCCCCCCTATCCCCTGATAACAAGTTCCAACCTTGCTAAATCCCAAATTCCATTCTGGTTAAGCATTATCCAGCATACAAGGGAAGTGATGTGAGACCTATGAAAACCAAACTGTTAGTTTAGTTCATTTATTATGCACCCCCTTTTCCATCTTGTGGGAAGTAGGGGAATGGGTTACAGAGGCACATAATGGGCTCAGGGACTGAACCCCACAATTCATTTAGCTAAGCAAGTTACAATCTTGATGAGCTAATTACAAAATTCAATGCACATCATCACATCAACAATGGGCTTGAGACCAACCACAAGTACAGTTTCTAATTTAAGCAACTGACATATGTGGAGAGCTAGTGTCACAATTGATGTTTATCATGCACACCGTCCCCCATCCAGTGGGCAGCAGTGGATAGGTTACAATCACTCGGATACTACCTACAGTTGGTAAACTAGGGATATTTGGTGAAGACTTCTGGCAGCAGATCATTTAGAATGAAATATTTACATATCTCTTGAAAATTTGTTATAGAGTTGTCTCTGAATTCATATATCTTTTTATACTCCATCACATAGTGATGGAGGGTGTGCAAATAATTTTGTTGACACAGTTTACATTTGGTCAGGGCTACATCAGCAGATAATAAAAATTCCCAGAGATACTTGTAGTAGTCAAAGCCGTGCAATAGTAACATCTATAAGTCTGCTGATTTTATTGGATGACCCATAAATGTGACATACTGTTTATTGACATAGATTTAAACTTTTGGACTAATTATTAATATTTGTATTATATTTTACTAATTTCCATATTACATAGCTTATCAGGTGTAAATGCCAGTCGAGAATCAGGTGTTGGTGAACGACTTGGGGGACCATGCAAGATAATCAATGCTCATAGTGATGCAGTCTATTCTATGGTGTCTACTGATGCTTTCTGCATCTCGGGAACAACAGGTTTGATTACAGTAAGTTAATGAACAATTTTTGTCTGTTTAAATTTTCTTCAGTCCATGATACTGTACAGCACAGTAAATTGCATGCTCTAGTGGTAGTCATTTAAAAAAAAAATTTAATTGTAGTGGTATTCATGTCTAGTGTAGAGTGGCAGACATTACATATCCCTACAATCATAGCAGGACAAATGACTGCCTTTTTTCTATGAGATTGTAATAAAAATTTCTTTGCAACCAGTTTTAGGAAAGTTAAGAACATGGTGTAACTTGTGTATATTTTTCTCAAGGTACTTTGAACTTAATAATTCTGGCATAACAATATAGAGAAGACAATCATTAGTGATTTGAAACTCGTTAAACATAGCGTGTTAATGGTTTAATATTTTTTTATACAAATAGATGGGTATGTACCAGTGGATGTGTGGGTGTACAGATAGTGTCATCTTCATTTATAATTCTTCAGTTGTGCTCTAGGTAGTAATAGTGAATAAAAAATAAAATTGAATTCATTCCCTGAAAGTTTAGTTTGAGCTGAATGTTTTAGTAATTATTACTGCTAACTAAATGCAGTAGCTTCTTACGTGAGGATTCTCAATGTGGAAGTTAGTGAGTGTGGGGAAGGATTACCTTTCGAGGTAATACACAGAGGTACATTTGTTTAGTGGAGAAGAGGGCATTTCTGCTGCCATTGGGGTGAAATGATGTACCTGTACATTTTAAAATATAAACATGCAATTTTTATTGTTAGGGGCGTCGGTGGAATGAATTGAGGCATCAACAGTCCCAGCCAGCATGGACAATATCTCTGGAATGTGACCAAGCCAATTTTGGGGTAAGTCATATTCTTGGAATTACCTTAACTGTCTTTTATCGATGTACTGTAAATGTAAAGACTTGTTACTATATATTGCTTTACTACAGTATTTAGATATCTTATTTAATAAGGTCTGAATTGTATACAGCCATATTAATTGGAAATTAAATATTAGAAAGATATCAGAGGATTTTGAATAAAGACTAAGAGAGTTAGCAAGTGGAAGAAACTTTGGAATGTGACATAGCAAATCTTTGAACTTATCCAGGTTTATAGCTAAGAGTTTAACTTTCTTACAGACACCAGAAGTAAACAGCTTATCATATGACTCGGCAAGAGGTCTTGTTTATGCAGCTTGTGGTGACTGGCGCACTCACGTGTATGACCTGGAAACTGGTAAACGTACACAGACGTTGGAAGGGCATGATGACTATGTACACGATGTGGTTACCAGGTGTGACTTTATTTTTTTTTTTTAATCTGTAGCAAGTACAGTATATATTCTATACATTTTGTTTTGTTTACTAACCATGTAATATTTGGTTAAAAGATCTTGCAAGAATATAGGATGTATCCAGGACTAAGGATTTTTGTTCTTAAAAAGTTTGAATAAAATTTTCTGAACGGTAAAATAATATTGACACAATTCACTGCAAAATAATATACAGGCATACCTCAGAATAAGAGTTTAATCCGTTCCTGGAGACGCCTCGCCTTCCGAAAACTCGCATTCCGAAGTTAATTTCCCCATAAGAAATAAAGGGAAATGAATTAATCTGTTCCTGACTACCCCAAAAACCCCACATCAAACTAAATTTTTATACCTAATTTACCTAATTCATCTAAATAAACCTACAAAACTGTGTTCCAGTTATTACTTACCTTGCTGTCGAGTGCTGTAGGCGTATGGAAGATGGTGAGGAGGGGGGAGGAGGAGAGGAGTTACTGTTTGGAAGGGGAGTCCCCTTCCATAATCACATCACATAACCCCATGCCTTGTCAACACTATGGATACCACTTCTCTTTCTAAATTTTTCAAACCAGCCCCTGCTTGCCTTAAACTCTTTCTTATCTGCATCACTCGTTGCAGGGGTATTCTTTAGAAGGTCTTCGTGCAACACCCTGGCTTTCTCACAAATAATGGCCTCCGAAACACTATCACCCCTCAACTCCTTGTCGTGTATCCAAATTAATAACAACTTTTCCACTTCTTCAAGTATTTGTGGTCTTTGTGCCGTTAATGTTCTTACTCCTTTTGCCAGTTTAGCACCCATAATCTTATTTTTCTTCTTAAGTATAGTGCATATTGTTGATGTGGCTTTGTTGTACTGCCTACAAAGTTCAACAACACGTGTACCGTTCTCATGCTTCCGAATGATCTCTTGTTTCTCCTCTATTGTCATCCTCACATGAGCTTTCTGGCCTTTATCCTTACCACTGGCTTTCTTGGGACCCATGGTGAGATATATAATAACAAATTGTATAGACAAATCGCCAAAAATCCAACAAAACACTGAAAATCCGCGAGAAGAATTGATGTGGGGGTAGTCACTGAGCGCGAGACAATGGTAAACTGAGGGGCGGCGGGGCAGAGGGGCGACGATCGCCGAACCACCACGCGCTAGGTCGGCCTGTACGCGTATCAACAAACTCGCGTCCCGAAGTAACCCTCGCCTTCTGAGACAAATTTTTGGAGTAAATACTGCTCGCCTTCCGAAAACCTCGCATACAGGGACAATCGCATTCCGAGGTACCACTGTATAATGAACCAGCCTGACTTACAACAAGAGAAACTGAGTGCTAAACATGGGAAAGAAAGTCAGCTGGTACAAGATTTACTACAGTATATTATCACACAGATTGATATCTGATATGTGATCTCGCCATCCTCTAATTATTAACTTGATGGGTTTGTTAGGGAGTCGTGAACACCTGGAGCGGTAGTTAGAGTGAATTGTAATTTGGTTGAGTTGATATTGATTTGTCTGTATGAGATGGTGTGATCTTTGTTGAAAAAAGAACTTTTGAGGGATGAATAATTAATGTAATGCATTTAGTATAAAGCAGATGGAAAAAAGTTGAAACCTTATCAGACATTGAGAGGTGCTGGATGCTGTGGCTATTTTAACAATAGGATACTTCAGTCATTTGGATTGTCAAACACTGTTAAAATCAATTCTTGTGGTAGAGTGGTAGAGGCCCTGATATTTTGTCTTTATATATTGCACATTTTTGCCACTTTAGTTTTTATGTAAATAAATTTGTAAAACTTTTTAATCAGTGGTACAGTATTCATAAATAAATAAATAAATTTTAGTCAGTGATAGAATTGCTTTTAAAAGTGAAACATTGATAGATATTTAGGTGTGACTGATAAAATTAGATGATAGTCAAATTTTATTGTAAAAGTATATTGTCCTCTTATATTTTCCATGTGTTTTATGATGCATCAACAGTGGTAACTTGGTTGCTAGTGGTGGTGAAGACGGTCAGGTGTTTGTGTGGGACCCACGGGCAGGAAGGGAGCCTCGGCATAAATTGGCACCTCACACCCAAGATCAGCTGGCTAGACCACATCTTGGGAGATTCATAGCATCTCTTGATCTCTACAATGACTGGCTTGTAAGAAAAAATTTATATATAGCAGTGCACTTCCTATGAATTTTATATCTTGTTTTCTATGCTTATCTGTAGATGTTGCTGAAATCTTTACTGTCATTGATATCATGTGCATCTTGTCTTGCAATCCCAAGTATGGTACGTGAATGAGAGCGTATGTAACTTCACTGGGTTATGTAGTAATACTGTACCTTTTTGAGAGCTTCAATATGTTTCATGTGAAAGTGCTGTAGATATCATTTGAGCTGTCTGTCCACAGATTTATTATGACTAACATAACTTTATCAAGATATCTACTTTTTATAGTTAAGTGTTAGTGATATTGCTTTAGGGATCATCCAAGTGGAGGAGCTTGCAGCTAAGAACTTTTTAAGTGTGCCTCTCGGGTCATACTGGTGCTGAAGAGACACTGGAGAAAAGCTCAAGTCAGTCAAGAGTGACTACAGAAAGTTCAAGCCAGTCAAGAGTGACTACAGAAAGTTCACTTATAAACACTTTAAGGGCTGCCAAGTATTGCTCTCCCCAGGCTGCCAGTTTTCCCACATAACCACAATCTCTGATTGCCACAAATGACAGCACTTACATCGATACACCCCATCACATTCCTTCCTGGTCAGTTCTCATGATGGTTGGCAGGCTGAAGACCAGATTCAGTAAAGTAGCTAGTCTTATCCTTAAAATCTTTTGTTTCTTATTTGTGTATGACAAGCATAGTGTAACTTAACCAACCCAGTCTTCCCTTCTCTGTTCTGGTTCAGTTTGTGCTTCAGCAGTGGATTCCCACTACATTTACCATACCTTGGAGTTTTGCTCCAGGTATTTGTGCTGGACTTTACCTTGGGTAAACTTAGCTCTGTGTTCAAGTATGCTGTCATTATCTCCAGGTCTGGCATTGGTTAAGTTTCTTGAGTTTCTTTCTAGACATCTTTAAGAGAAAACTAGACAGTTTTCTTCAAGAAGTGCCGGACCAACCGGACTGTAGTGGATATGTGGGCCTGCGGGCCGTTCCAAGCAGCAGCCTGTTGGACCAAGCTCTCAAGTACAGCCTGGCCTCGGGCCAGGCTTGGGCAGTAGAACTCCCTGAACCCCTATCCAGGTACAACTCTTTTTTATTTTTTTTTTTTTTTTTTTTATAAAATATATACAAGAGTTGTTACATTCTTGTACAGCCACTAGTACGCGTAGCGTTTCGGGCAGGTCCCTGGAATACGATCCCCACCGTGAAGAATCGTTTTTTCATCCAAGTACACATTTTACTGTTGCGTTAAACAGAGGCTACAGTTAAGGAATTGCGCCCAGTAAATCCTCCCCGGCCAGGATACGAACCCATGACATAGCGCTCGCGGAACGCCAGGCGAGTGTCTTACCACTACACCACGGAGACTGACTGTATGACATCCATGGTTGTATTTTGTGATTTTTTGTTCTGTACATGGGCTACCCTTGCCCTTTCTTGTATAAATATTTGGCAGGGTTTAGTTAGGATCAGTCAATAACTCTTGCTTTGGTTCCATGGCATCTTCAGTTACTGTTTATAACCAGTTCATTACCACTAGTGCTGTTTGCCATGGTTCAGTAGGTAAGTACAGGGATTGGCACATCATTGCCTGGTTCAGCCAGGTTAGGTATCATCCATTGTATTTTGCCCTAAAAGTTACTATATCTGCCTCTAGCATTTGCCCCTTTTCATTATAGGGTTGATTCCATCCCTGGGTGTGTTCAGTCTTTCATGTGTGGCCTTCAACCCTGTTTGAACCATCATCTTGGCAGACAGCTTTTGTTGTGGCCGCTAAGCTTCAGACCTACTTCAGCACTGGAGGACTTGGTTTACAGTTTGTTCACAGGCATCATCATCCACATTTTTAAGAGATGGATTTAGCTCCACTTTTTCAGTATAATCCATGGGATAGGAAGCTCTCATCTTCCCAACCATCTCCACTTACTGCAGATTCTAATGACTATAATCCTTGGTTTGCACATGTGTAGGCTGGAGTACATATGGAGACCTTGTTTTCTGCAATCAAAACATATTTATTGGTAGTATTTGACAGTGTAATTACAAATATAATTTGTTTGGAGAATGATACTGTAAGCATGTAATATAAAAAAATACTTCAGTTATATGGCTTGTTAATTTGTTGATCTCTTAAATTTCACGATTTTACTGGGTTACACAGGTATGTGGGGGTGGTCCACGGGCAGGAATCTTTCACTTACGGTCCTTGGCTTTAACAACAGTCTTGCCCTCTGCCAAAGCAGCCATCCATGTCACTAAATTCACAAGGCATGCAGAAGGTGGTGATCGAGGGGGTATTGTGATAGCAGGTAATAAAAAATAGTATTAATAGCATGAAAATATTGAACAGTATTTTATACTGACAGTATAATAAATGAATATATGTGAAATGAAGAATATGTGAATTGATCCAATTACTAATAAAGTGTTTTGTGCGGAATGTTATGTGCAGTGCGAGATAGTCTGAAAACTCGAATATAAAATTCATTTAGACTTCTTGGAGATTTGGGTTACCAGAATTCAAATTAAGTTCTCAACAGTACTTATAACTCGCTTCGTAATCATCTGCATAATTTTTCATTACTTGTCCACATAGTAAATAGAGGTGACTGTTCTCAGGTGTGATGCCTCACCTCTGTGTGTGCAGCATGGCTGGTGTGGTCACAGCGCAGCTTCCGTCTTCCTCTCCGTGTATCTACACTGTCAATGTGACTGACAAACCCTTCACGGTATGTATTGACTAGAGTTTACCGAAACACAGCTTAATTAGTAGGTAAATATTTTGTGATGGTGGACACTTTTCTTTGAGCTAGGTTTAATAGTATGAGTCAGTCTTACAATGCCAAATATTTATTTGGTAGTAACATGCAAGAAGCTGAAATAGTATTTTCTAACATCTCTGATTCATTTGTGTCCTTTGTTTTGCAGTTTCTAGCTTTGGACAATGATTTTTTTTTCACTTTATTCATTCTCATGTGAGAGTTTGTGTTTTGTGCAATTACCAAGATGTAGTCACAGGATGAGAGTTAGGCTGTTGCTACAATTGTGTAATGTCACACAAATACTGTACTGCATAACCTACTCGCACCTTGTTCCATTACTATTTTGCCTGAGAACGCGCCCACAAAAGTGTGCTGGGTATATGTGTGAGCACACATTTATTGTTCACTATTCCTCAAGTGTTGACAACTTGCTTATGTCTGGAGGTCAGGATTCATTAAGCTGAACCCAGAACCTCAAAGTTTTCTTGTTCATACACAGAAAATAATAGACAGAAGTAAGTTAACCAAAGGTATATAAGTACAGATAAATAGATTCTGGCAGACACTGACAGACAGGAATTAAGACAGTGATAAAGGTCATAAATTGAACAACTGACAGTAACTATAACTAGGTACTGTACACTAAACAACACAGGGAGAGTACTTTGTGCATATTTAGCAATAAAATACTTTGATCTTATTTTGCAGATGATGACTTATGGGGGAACAAGCACGAAAATGGACGTTTGTTTCAACCTAAATTATCGGGATCATACAGTGTCATTGTTTGAAGATTGATTGCCAAATATTTATAAAGGTCAGCACGTCTAATTTTTAATATGTATCATTGAATTAAATAGTAAATTTTCTGGGTTTTGCCTTATTTACCTCAATGGGTTGAAACAGGTGTGCACATCTCATCAGGATAGTTTTCAGCATCTTTTTGAGGAATTTTATATTTTGGGATGGCTAGTAGTAAATTTTCACAAGGTATGAAGGGTGTATTTGCAAACCCCTCAAAGCCAATGAAATTATGAAGATTTAGAGATGGAAAAAGGCAAATTTTGAGATAAATTTATTAACATGCAGTATCTGTATTCAGATATGTTCTTTGAGTGAGGAATTGCAGAAGATTATGAATGAGTATAATAATGTGAGAGAATAATGTTGCAGGTTAAGTTAGGAAAACTGAGGTTATGGTCTTTGAGAGAAGAAAATGGGATGTGGATTTTGTAATTCTGTATAGTGACAATGCATAGTGATTAGAACAGTAGGATAGAAATGAGGGTAGAGATATGCGAGAGATGTAATGAGTTTTTTTAAATACTTTGTTGGTATTAAATAAAAATTGTAGTATAGAAGGTGAAATAGAGGTGGAGGGGGGGAGGGTGATGTATAGAAGGATTATAAGGGGGTGAAATAATAAAAGTAGGGAATATTAGTACAGTATAGGAGTTAAGAACAACATAGAAATGGTATACTGCTGTCAACACTGACATATGGTGGTGAAACTTGGGTATGGATCATATACCGTAATGTTTTTATTTAGCTTACGAACCATATACAGTAGTTTTTAGGTACACTGGGGAAAACCAATATATAGCGGTGCCCACTAAACTCGTTTTCCAGCAGATACCTGGATGTAGTTAAAGCTATACTACAATAGTGGGTTACATGTTGTTTCCACAAAATGTATGGGTACACATTACTTGGCATACTTCAAGGATAAGATAAAGAATAATATACAGGTAATACAGTATATAATGTTGGTTTAACAATGTATAATGAAAAATATCTTCAATCTTTTGCAGATACAATATTGATATAAGACAGGTTAAGTGATGATACAATTGGAGTGCTTGATATAAGTACAGTATCACATGTCCCAATAATAATGTAAATCTACAAACGGTAACATTCAATATTATCTCAACCTAAGTGTTCGAACAGCTGGTGTAAGTATATAGTATGGGATAGCAACGAGGATGTATGAGAAAGGTGTAGAAAAGCAACATGTAAAGGATTTGGGATTAATGATATCTGACAATCTAATGGTTAGGGAGCATAACCAAGCAAATAGTGTCAGCTGGAAAAATAATAGGATGGATTACAAGAACCTTCAAATCCAGGGATCCCATCACAATGCTCATATTATTCAAATAACTTTTGCTGTCCCGTCTTGAGTACTGATCGATACTCACTTTCCGCTTCAGAGCAGGAGGGATTGCCGAAATAGACGGAATACAGAGAACATAGACAGCATGCATACACACAATAAAACGTCTAAACAATCAACTTGAGAACGGTCCAGGACGGACCGAAACGTCGTCGTCACTTCACTTTCTAGTGTGTGGTTTGGTCAACATATCACACAAGATTATCACAGGTCAGACATAGCATACAAGGAAACAGCAACAGGTCACTAATACCAAATACTTGCTCCATTAAGATGAGTAAACGTGGGGAAAAGAGCAAGGAACAAGCAGGGCGATTAGAAAACTAACATTGCAGTTGAGCATGATTTTGATCAGGTCCTGTTGTTAGAGACAAGGTCAAGTATGTAATAACCTTATGGAACCTCCATAATGTACAAAACTTTACACAATATGAATGTTAATAAAAAATTTATTCTACATCACTAGCTGACAGTATTTAATTCCCTCACTTTTGGTTTCCCTATCTGTTAAACTTATTTAATAGAATGCATTATGGCTCAAATTAAGTAACCTTAATAATGAATTTAAAACTTACAAGTTATATATTTGGGCAACGGTTGATTTTGATTTGTATTTTTAAGTCAAAGAGTGGAAGTATATATTGAGCACATGATCCTAGTCTTGTCCATATCCAGTTCTGTGAATTTGTTGTTTAGCTTGTGACACCTACAAGCTAAAAATATAAAATTTTATTTGGAATATACAAAAATGTAATTAGAAAGTAAGTAATTATCAAAAGAAGGCACCAAACCGGGAAGGCATGAAATTAGAAAAATAAAAAATAAATCAAACATTAAACTAAATCCTTACTTACTTACTTACTGTTAAAAGTAGAAGCTGGATTATAAGAATATTTTTATAATTCATCTCAATATTTTAAGGATAAGCTGCATAGCTTTGACTTGTAAGAATGTTATTATATTCCTTTTGTAGCAATTAAACTATATACTGTAATGTAATAGTTACCTAACATTGTACATTTGAATTATAAAGATGATTAAGTGTACTATGTGCTAGCCTGGAATTTCAACAATCCATTATTTAACAAATGTTTCTCTAAAACTTAATGGTTTTTAGCAGTCGTATTTCTACAGTTACTTAGTTATTTCTTTAACTTTCACATGCTGTTTTTTAAATTGTAATTATTTCTCATCTCTCCAATTGCCTTCTTTATCTGGCTCTATTTTTCCTCTTGAAGCCTACTTTTTCCCCCTCGCTGCCTTTCCTGATGTCGAAAAGCCTTTTTTGTTTTCTCTGTGACGATGTACCCTATGTTCTTGTGCTTGTTCTTCAAAGTATTGTTCTCTTCCAGTCTGTTTCACATCTGACTGTTCTGTGCTCTCTGACCATTCTTTAATGACATTACCATTTTGATACTGAAAATCAAATATATTTAAATTAAAGTCATTAGTCACTGTTTTAATAGGAAATTATTTGATAAATAATGACTCTTAAAAGGATGGTAAATTATATACAATTGATGTAAGGGAGAAATCAAACGATCAATCTTGAAGGTTATGTTTGTTTCCAATGTGTGAGAAAGATGAGGCTAATGTCTCGGTCATGCTATTGAAAAGGTGGGAATAAAGTAAGAAAAGATAAGATGGAAAGGTAAGTTACTAAAAAGGTAATGTGTGAGGCAAGAAAATATAGTATACAGTACAGTACTACCAAGTGGTGGTGGTGCAGGAAGTGGTCAGTGAATTTACCAACCTGGGAAAGGGGTACACCATATCATCCTACTGTAAAGTAGAATGAAAAGCACAACCTTTAATTATAAAATATTAAAATGAACCTTAATGAGTTACTCTCTGTTCAGGTTAATTGATAAATTAACACAACATGTACATAGTTAAACAGAGCGATGTCATCCCACGGGCCACCCGACACAGCTTGACTACTATGTCACACGTAAGTCAATTAGGAAACTAGATTTGTCTCCCGTTACTTCTATAAATTATATACAGTACAGTAACTAAGAAATTAACATTTTTAAAAGAATGAATTGAATTAACACTTAATTCAAATTTATAAACAGATAGAGCCTTAAACTCTCAGCAAGTAAATAATATACTGTACGATATCTTGAGATGATTTCAGGGCTTTTTTTCTTTTTTAGTGTCCCCGCGGCCCGGTCCTCGACCATGCCTCCACCCCCAGGAAGCAGCCCATGACAGCTGACTAACACCCAGGTACCTATTTACTGCTAGGTAACAGTGGCATAGGGTGAAAAACTCTGCCCATTGTTTCTCGCCGGCGCCTGGGATCGAACCCAGGACCACAGGATCACAAGTCCAGCGTGCTGTCCGCTCGGCCGACCGGCTCCCTCATTGTCCTCCCTCCCTCGATAGTTTTCTCATTGTCTCCAGAGAAGGGAGGGAGGGGGGGCTCTAATGCAATTACATGCCATTACACAAATACAGACCATCACTAATTGTGGACGTTGTCATTATAAGAACATAAGAACAAAGGCAACTGCAGAAGGCCTATTGGCCCATACGATGCAGCTCCTATTTATAACCACCCACATTATGCAGCCTAAATATTGTTCTGCTATCATTCAAAACTTCACAGTAGTAGGCATCCATCAGTCTCGGGAGACTATGGAGGTGCGCTCTGGTTGTCGGTCTGGAGTGAAGTTTTGAATGATAGCAGAACAATATTTAGGCTGCATAATGACGACATCTGCAATTAGTGCTAGGTGAAACTTCACAACTAATAAATAAAGTCATGTCCACCTCACACGTCAACCAGAGAAGTGATAATCCATACCCTTAACTAATTATATGTTGTGGCCATCTCGGTATGTAGGTGAGGAACAAAAAAGGTTAGATAACAGCAGTTACAAGGCATGACAACACCAATATATTACATTGGATCATACAATCATTAATTACATAATTATTTATGGTCGATAATTTGGTGAAATAAAATCAATCTAATAGTGACTTTGCTGGCACAAAGGTGTTGATCCAGCACGTTTTACCAGGTGAACATTGAGCGGTCTTATTGTCAATCACATGTTGAGGCTTGCATATTCTACCTGCCAGCTAGGCAATTAAATTAGGAATTACTAACTATAATTTAGACAGGCCAGTGATCGAATATGAACTAAAGTTTAAACAGAAATAATCTCAGTATATTCAGGGTAATAAACTGAGATATCCAAATCAAATCTGCGCCAAAGCTGGATGGTCTAAATATTAATTAATTCATGAAATTTAAGCTAACTTGATTTAATTTGTGTGGAAACTTAAAACTACAATTCTGCACACAGTCCATTCTGTAGCAATTAAATAAACAATAATTTCCTTACAATTTGAGCTGTAGTGATAATTTCCAATTCATATATTCATCATACCTTCTTCAATATATAAGTTAGAAGATTGATTTCACAGTTGTTGTCTTTAGCATTAGTATTGTAACCCATTGGATCATCCTGAAAGTGAATAAAACTATATACAGTAATTTCATACAGTATAGTATATGGTGCTCTTGAATGATTGGAAAATGTTCAGTGCTTATAATGTTTTAGAGCAAAAGTATTAATATAACTACTTGCATCCATTAGGTACTTTTGTAGTCTACTTCATTATCAACTTTTCCAACACCACTGTTTGGAAATTACTAAATTTTTCATTTTTTATACTTTATTAATAATATTCAAGCTAATCTTCCAAAGTTCCTGTACCTTACTATATTTTTTGCTGCTACTCTCCAATCTCCCCAAAATCCTATACAGAATATTTTAATTCTTATAGCTTTGTGTAACACCAGAAGTTAGAGATACTGTGAACTCTTGTTTATCCAGCAATCTTTTATTGCATCCCCAGCTTATTTCGAGTCAATTTAATCTGGTTATTGTCGCTCAAACATCCAAAAATGTAAAATTTTAAACATTTTAAATTATCTTAAATCCAAGAAACAACCAGAAATTTGGAACAGCTGGTCAGTTCCTGCAGTCACCACCATGCATGTAGGTGGCTTTTCATGCTGGCTATTGTTTACACCACGTTTGTGTCCTGTGCTTACCCCTGTCAGTTACTATGAAGACTGACAGGTAAGCTCTATGGCATTTATTTTTTGTATATATAAAAAATTCACTTAGTACAATATTAGTTCCAATGTTCAGGACTGGCAATTTGGCCCCTGGAGGCTATGCTATAATCCAGATGATAAAATATTATAACAATAGGTGGGATTGATCTCATCTCTGAACGTCCCAGAACGTCCCGTCATGACGAGCTAAAAGAATCTTGACCCAAATTTCTGCTACACCTGCACGTGGCAAGTATCTCTGACATTTGGATTATGGGTATTAGTTGGTACCTGTTGTGCCAAGTCTAGCAGAACTTTTGGTTGAGATACTCTTAGCCAATCACAGTACAGTATATTGTGTGCATTTCTGCTATAATAATTTATCATTGTTACATTACTGTATAATTTATCATCCATGTCATATCAGTGTCCAAAGGCAAACGTGTCAGCCCAAAAAACTATGCTAAGTGAATTTGTTGGATTTGGATTCCTTTTACACAAGTTGTGTTCAGAGTAAGTTTAAATTCAGACTAATCCATTAATTTGTCGATGTAGAACTGATACTTCATATTTCTAAAACTGTTCTTCATATAATATTTGTGCAGATATTATTTCATATAATATCCGATGCATACATATTACTTATTGCTGTTTAATATAAATCATTTGCATTTTATGGCAGGGGTTCCCAATCTTTATCATAAAGGTCCCTAAACATGATGAGCCACAGCCAAGGATAACCCTTACATGCCCTTAAAAAATTTATCAACACTGGAGATTTTATATTTACTAACTACTCAATGCAGTAACTACTTTATTACAATAATAAATAAGACCATTTCCCAGTTCAATGTTTTACTGTGGATGACTACATTTCAAAGACCTGGCCATCATAAATTTGCAACTATAGTTATACACATTCTGTAAGCATAACAAATTACCCATTAGTGCCAACATAAAAACAAGCTGTGTATAAAGAAAATACACAAAATATTGTTTTTCTTTCTTGCCACAGACCCCAGTTTTAAGAGACCCTGTTTCAAGGTCAGTACTGTATATAATTGAATTTATATTTGACTGCATTCATTTTGTATTTGGTTGAGAAATATAGTCTGTGGACTTCTTTCTGGTATTGCTATTATTATCCACAGCATCTCAAAGTTGGAGACATTTATCTGTTTACAGACATTGCTCCGTGCCCTCATTTGTGAATTTCGTATCTACGAATCTTGCCTCAAATGTCAGTCATGCCCTGGGTAATGCCTGACATTTACCTTCAAACCTTCAAAGTGAGTTCTCTGGGAGGTTGTTAGGCTGGGTGCACTTATCCTGTAAGGTGCAAGCTTGTTTCCATTCGGGTGTATGCTAGGTGTAGGCAGGAGCTTTTAATAATAGATCTTACTTTCTTATATACATTACTGTCACTAGTGGAGCTATAAACAAGTCTTCCTGTTTTTTCAGCTGCCACCTCAGGGTTACCTTCTTATGTTGACTGTTGCCAGTGGCCTCTAATGAGCAACTGCTCTCCTGGTAGTTTATCTCTGCTTGGGGAGCTCCTCATGATCCAACTATCCAGTCCTGTGTTGTGTAGCACTTGATACAGGCAAGTGCAGATTAGTCAGCAGGTGAAGACCTGGGGCTGATTGATTCATAGGGGTCTATAGTTATGTATGTACGTCCATAATGTTATATACATGATTCCATTGTATGTAAATGTATGCCAGTATATTCGACATAGTTGTATTCTTTATCAATTCACAAGTTCTGTATGTACATATTGTGGGTCTGGGAACACTGATACTAGATGCCTATCCTGTACATGTATGCAAATTTCTCTAAACAAAAATTTAAATGAAAATACTTATACTGTACATCACTTATGATGAACTGAAAAAATAAGAAATGCTAGTACATATTCTCCGATAAAATACACTAGGACACACTCCCTTATGTATACAGTATTGGTACATTACAACCACTGACTGGTTGGAAGAGAGACAGCCATGCTTTTTTTTGCAGGGTCGCCATTCATTCTTCGATGGTCCAAATGCTTAGGCAGCATTCCTTAACCTCTTTCCTCATCACTTCCTGGTGCTATATAGTAATACTGGTTACTATCTTAGCACTTTTCCATGATAATTACCTTACCTTGTGTACAGTGCACCCTGCCAAATCTGGACATTTTCCCTGGGAAAATCTTGGTAAATTATGTTAATGTAACACCAAATCAACATTGTATGAATGTTGACTGAACATTATTCTCGTATCGTTTGCTTGTGGGTTCCTTCTAAATGACAGACCAAATCTGCCCACCAGATTTTCCCTGTGAAATACACAAAGTGGAGGACAACTGATACTTTACCTATTTCTTTGCTATTTTTTTAAATGCATTCTGCAATCAATACAAAATTAAAAGTACCGTAGTTTGTTTCTTGCCGATACTCGGTACTATCTTTTTCAGCCTTATCCTGATACAGTACTAAAACTTTTTGCATCTAAGACCATACAAAAGTGTCTTGTCATAATATATATTAGCCAATTATTTTTTATTTTTGTTCAATTGCTTGGTAACAGCAATCTTCATTGTAAATAGCATGTGAGAGATTTAAGTTTGCGTGAAATGATGCATGCTTTCAAAGTATCTTATAGTTACCAAAGATGATAATTTTAAAGTAGAAGCACGTTTCATGCAAAATGGTAAACTTTCATTAGTGGTCAATTAGTAGTGGTTAGTTGGTAATAAATCCACTCAGGTTTCACCCTCTTCGATTACTTATTTGAATAACAGACTTGTAGTACTATATTGTCATTGTATTTATCCTCAGAAGCGGCCTTCTGTGATAAAGCGAAAAAATTTCCAAAATGTTGGCAGTTTAGTACAGTACTTGCAAACTGATAAAAGTTTACTCTATGAATCATTGACCTTCCTTCAGCAACTGTTGAGCCTAAAAGCATTGCAAGTTGCTGGTAAGTGGTAGCTGTATTGACCTGGTGATGGATTTATAAAGTGTAAAGTCTGTGACATTTCCTTCACTATTCCTTTTATTTCTGCACTGGAAAAATTCAAGTTTTCATTGCATAGTTACTTCTTGCTGTCGTTTTTTTCATGATCCTCCTTTCATGCTTTCTGCTTGTCTCATCCACTCTGGTGTTTCTTTATTGTGTGACAAGTCTTGGGCTGTTTATGACTTTGACGTCTCTGCTCTGACCACTGACCTGAAAAAAAACATGTCCTATGAAATGCTGTAAATGCATTGACGCTTCCAAATGTAGCCCTAATAATTCGGCATCTAATATTATTTTTTTACACCAAAGACTGTTCAAGACAGCATGCTAATCTATGAGCACAATATGCTAAGGGATTCGTGGTTCAACCTTGACACTGTGTGGATGCCTGACTTCTGTTGTGCCTGAAGGTCACCGGGTTATGTCTTGCTTTTTCCTGCCCATTGGGTTACGTTTTGTTGAAAGGCATTTTCATTCAACTGCCCAGATGGTTGTGACGCATGGTGTCTATATCGCCATGGGGGCATCGATTGATTTTCTTGCATTTTCTTGCTTGCACCTCGGACATGGAGCGAAGGTTTGGAGCCAGCTTGGCCGAGAGGTGCTGAGGTCCGGCAGACCCCTGGCTGCTTTTGTGTTCCATCTGGATGTGGAGGGTGCCTGCCTCTCATTCTGTCGTGGTTGTTACCCTGTGTGTGGTGTGGGTTGCCGATGTCTGCCCTGCCAAGAGTATTAAGGTGTTGCCAGGTGGTCAGCACCACTAGGTGGCTTACTTTTGCTATCTGGTTACGTTTTGCTATTGGGATAGTTTCCAGTTTTGTTTTCATACTGGAAATCCGGTTCGGCAGGTGCATACATTACATCATTTCGTCGTTGCTCTTAAATTATCAACAAGAACGCCATGCCAATGCGTACAGTACTTTACAGATTAAAAAATTCCTTGTATGTAAATTATAACTTGACTAAGTTATAATTTTCATTATTGATTAATTGAATTCAACTGTGCTTTTGACTTGACTGCTAGGGACAAACATATCGGCTGATTATGATAACTTATTATGACCAACTTTCATCCATTTTTCATACTGTTTTCCTATTCTACACTTTGTTTTCCCTAGAAATATGGTCATAATGGTGATACATAGGATCAAGCACTATGATAGAAACAGATTCCCCCCCCCCCAAAAAAAAAGAATTTTAACTCTGAATTTAATCGACAGCATCCAGTCTCAAATGACCTGGTCAATGGGAGACCACTGTAATTAATAATAATTTTGCCAGATTAATATTATTCCATCGTACCCAAATTATTATTATTTTTTTTTTCTTGTACAGCCACTACCATAGTACGCATAGCGTTTCGGGCAAGTCCTAAATCCTAAGTTCCCTGGAATATGACCCCCGCGAAGAATTGTTTTTACAACCAAGTATACATTTTACTGTCGAGTTAAACAGAGGCTACAGTTAAGGATTTACGCCCAGTAAATCCTCCCCGGCCAGGATATGAACCCAGAACAAAGCGCTCGCGGAATGCCAGGCGAGCGTCTTACCACTATGCCACGGAGATGAGAGGAAAGGTAACTGCATATTAACCACTATTAATTTCAATAGTTGTTCACAAAATAAATTTGATTATACAGCATAGCAAATACAGTTTTATGTCAAAGAATTAAAGCGTGTTCTGATAATTTAGTTTTACAATGAATAACAATTAACATTACTAATAACTGGCAACACTTACTTTTAAATCTTGCAAATAGTGTGGAGTTGAAGGCCTTTCAGTTGTGGTCGAGGTAGTTGTAGTCGGATAACGGTTATAGATGTGCCAGTTGATCCAATTATAGTGTTCAGGAATGCTGACATATACCCCAGGTATACCATCTTCACCACAGCCAATGCCCCAGGCAGTCATGCCCACTAACATGTACCGTTTTGGGTTATCTATTCGGGGACATGCCAAGGGTCCACCACCATCTCCCTATAATTAAAGGTAACATTTTAAGATTATTGACTTTTCATATTAACATGGTAAACATGAGCTCACTCAAAACTATTGCCTTTAAAAATTCCTTACTCGTCCTCAACATCAACACATGCCATAACTTTATTTCTTTAAAGTTAACTATGTAATTTTGAACCCTTTATACAACTAGTTTATTAAACTAAAAAGTTAATGTTGAACAGCCAGCACATCTCTCAATCAAGGTGTACCTGCTCTATGTACAGTACTAGCATATGACAATTGAATCAATCCCAATTTTGCAACAAATGGGTGAGCATTATACTGTACATGATATCCAAATTAAAAGCCCAGTTCTACCATATTTATGAAATGAAAAATAGAACTGTTGGAAAGAGGGTACAGTACTTACTCTACAGGCATCCTTGCCTTTCTCTCCTCCAGCACATATGAAAGACTTGTGCAGCCGGAAGAATCGTCCAAGCCTCGTAGTTCGCAGGCTAGTGACGCAATTCTTTGGATTAACCAATGGAATCGTCAAACTTTTCATGATCTTCTGGTAATCTCCATCTTCTGCGTGTGGAAGAGAACATTTTTACTTCAAAAATAGACTGAGGGGGGTATCTTTAATGTTGTTTAGAAGTTAACATTGAAAAAAGAAAAACTCAAATAAACCAAAAGTCAAGATACAAGTCTTCCTTCTTTTTCCAATTAACAATGAACAAATATAAAGCTCAAGGATATTGGTACAATACAAAACAAGAGCTGGTATAGTCAATGTACTTTAAAATGGTCCCAGGTTTGATTCCTGGGCAGGGTGAGAACTTGGGCATATTTCCTTACAATTGATACCCCCTCTTCACCTAAAATGTAAATACTATACTGCTGTAGATTGCATCATGAAGGTCAGTCATTGGTCTAGGAAGACCTCGATATGTTTAACAGATTTCCTGTCCCCAGTAATGGGGGGACCATAAGAATGACGTGGCAGAATGCATGGCCAGAAATTAGCAAATTAGCTTTTCACAAGTTCAGATTATATTTTTCCAAACTTACATTAACCTTATTCTAAGTAAGAATCATCAACACCTACGAAGGGCATTGACCCCCCATCCATTGATGACACAGGCACTGTGGTTGACCAGACTAAGGTCCTCAGCTAAGCAGATGGTGCCAATGTGTGACATCAACTGAGCTTCTTCCTAAAGATAGGGAGAAAATTTTCAGTTAATGTTTACCATAAGATCATACATGCCCTAAATTTGCACAGTAAAACAACATACTGAAGCAACAGATGTGGTAGGAAATACAGAACACAGCAAAGAGTAGTAGTTCCATAGGTACAATTGGAGAACACTGTATGAACATCAGAGGTCCTGGGCTATTCAATATCCTCCCAACATAAGAAATATTACATTTACAAAAATGGAAGTATTCAAGAAAAAATAGACATGTTCCTGCCAAGAAGTACCAGGCCACCCAGGTTGTAGTGGATATGTAGATCTGCAGGCTACTCCAACCAACAGCCAGTTGGACCAAGTTATCAAGTCAAACCTGGCTCCAGGCTGAGCTTGGGGAACAGAACAACTCCCAGAACCCACTCTAGGTATACTCTGGTAATCCCCCTTTCTCTCAGTATCTATACATGGGGCTCAACTAGTGTAAACTGTCCCAAACCCATCATTACCCAGCAAAAACCAGATATCAGAACCGAAACAAATCGTGTCTTCAGACAACGCACACTCCATACATTAAACTTGTGTTCTTTATCATTACGCAGCACAATAAAACCATGAAACCAGGCTTGAAACTCTTCCTACAGGGATGTAATAGAATCCATGAAAATCACATTAAATATGCATCAATAATATTTCCAGAGTTTAAGTAAATCTAGACAAACACTATGAAAGTGTTTGTCTAGTGTTTGTTTGAAAGTGTTTGTTCGATCAACACAGTATATTCTTATATGTATCCCAAATCCAATTAAAACTGCTTTGTCTATTGGAACTATTTCTTAGTCTTTACAACAAATTACTACTATCTATTTTTAATGCTGTATTAAACTAAGCTAACATGTAACCTTGATAAAAACATTGGTGGATGAATATTTTCTATTCTAAAGACTAAATGTGACTGAGCAAGAATAAGTTGCCATGATGGAGTTTCTACACATATCCTTGCTTAGATGGAGTTCATCTAAGCAAGATACGTATAGGGAATTCCTTCACATATCCTTGCCAAGCTGGAGCACTTACAAAGATTCCACCTTCGTACCCCACTGAATATGAGGAATCGAGGATGCTCTATTCTTTAAAGTCTTACAACCAATCATTGTATAAAACTTCCAGTAGCTAGAATATTTTATGACAAGTATGTATAAGATGGTCTTGATATTATTTCATTTGTAACTATGATTTTTTTATTTAAAATTACTAAAGTTATGAATTTCAATAGCATACATGTACAGCATTACAGTATATCCATATGTAAATTGTCAACAAAATTATTCGCACACCCTCTGTCACTATGTGATGGAGTGCAGAAATACATGTGAATATAGAGACAATTCTAATAAATGTTAAAAAAATTTGTAAATATTTCATTCAAAATGATCTACTACCAGAAATTTTAGCCAAATATCCCCAGTTTGCTAATTGTAGGTAGTAAATGTGCGAGACTGTAACATATCCACCTCTGCTCACTGTATGGAGGGGGCGGTGTGCAGGATAAACATATCAATTATGACACTAGCTCACCACGTATGTAAGTTACTTAGCTTAGAGACTGTACTTGTAGTTGGTTTTGAACCCTTTGGGAATTTTGTAACCAACTTATTAAGACTCTGTTTAGCTAAATGAATTTTGGGGCTCAGTCTCTGAGCCCATTATGTGCTTCTGTAACCCTTACCACTACTGCCCACAGGATGGGTATGGGGTGCATAATAAATGAACTAAACTATCCTGAGCATAATTACTCTTGTATATGTTATATTTATATACTGTATGTTGAATATGTTACCTTGTATATGTAAATGTTAGCTTCTTGTTTAGTATTGTGTCTAACAGTAAATGCTTTGCATATCAGTGTCCTTGTTAAATATAATGTGCATACAGTACTTTGTAACAATTATTAAACCACTGTATATTTTTATTTACAAAATATACAAAAGAAAATTTATCATCATCATCACCACCACTGTCATCCTCCTTTCATATCAGATAGTTTAATGCACAGTAGTATATGCACTATATTATGCAGCACATTAAATAGCAACCTTGAAAATAGTTGATAAGGGCTGACCTTGAGGAAGAGAAGGGCAATGTCATAGTGAAGTGACCGAGAGTCGAAGTGTGGATGGACCACCACCTCCTGCACCTCCAGGTCCTGGTGAGGGAACGGCTCAATCTCCGCCTGTGTATCCCACTCTCCAACCCTCACCATCAGGATACCCCCATTATATCTACACGTGCACAGACATAATCAACCATTAAAGGGTTTATCATGAAAGATAAATAATCAACATATTATACTATCCTAATCATACTTATGAATATGCAAATAATTAGCATTTAAATGGCTTGCCAGAATGATACATAATTAACATATTAATCTTAAGCCACTTTTTATACAATTAATAACTAATAATTCATGAAAAGGTAATGAATACTGAATAGATGGGTTTATGATCATACACATTATGAATGAAAGTTTACCTTATGGAATTATCGTGTTCTCTTTGGGTATGGGAATGCCAAATTTGTGTACAGGTGACATAAAATTAAATACAAATTGGAATAGAGGCCCGGGGCCGGCGTCAACAGAGGCCCCGGGGCTGGCGTCAACAGAGGGCCCGGGGCCGGCGTCAACAGAGGCCCCGGGGCCGGCGTCAACAGAGGCCCCGGGGCCGGCGTCAACAGAGGCCCCGGGGCCGGCGTCAACAGAGGCCCCGGGGCCGGCGTCAACAGAGGCCCCGGGGCCGGCGTCAACAGAGGCCCCGGGGCCGGCGTCAACAGAGGGCCCGGGGCCGGCGTCAACAGAGGCCCCGGGGCCGGCGTCAACAGAGGCCCCGGGGCCGGCGTCAACAGAGGCCCCGGGGCCGGCGTCAACAGAGGCCCCGGGGCCGGCGTCAACAGAGGGCCCGGGGCCGGCGTCAACAGAGGCCCCGGGGCCGGCGTCAACAGAGGCCCCGGGGCCGGCGTCAACAGAGGCCCCGGGGCCGGCGTCAACAGAGGCCCCGGGGCCGGCGTCAACAGAGGCCCCGGGGCCGGCGTCAACAGAGGCCCCGGGGCCGGCGTCAACAGAGGCCCCGGGGCCGGCGTCAACAGAGGCCCCGGGGCCGGCGTCAACAGAGGCCCCGGGGCCGGCGTCAACAGAGGGCCCGGGGCCGGCGTCAACAGAGGCCCCGGGGCCGGCGTCAACAGAGGGCCCGGGGCCGGCGTCAACAGAGGCCCCAGGGCCGGCGTCAACAGAGGCCCCGGGGCCGGCGTCAACAGAGGCCCCGGGGCCGGCGTCAACAGAGGCCCCGGGACCGGCGTCAATACTCACCCCAAAACCTTGTGAGCGGCGGTGACGACGACCCGAGGGTGGATCAGAGTGCCTCCCCCGACGAACCTTCTGATGGTAATGCCCATGAGCTGATCCAGGGTCAGCATGGCCGCCACCCAAGGAAACTCTCCGAACTGACTCTCGCCGCCTTGGAACCCCAGGATGCGCACCTGCCCAACACAAGCATATCAAATCTTGATTCGTACTGCATGTTACAGACAATTCAGCATAACAAACCTAACCCAGTTCTATTCAAAGTAACATCAATTTAGACAATACAACATATTTTAACATGATATTTACGGTTTCGGCGGTTCCATGGGTTTATAACCCCTTTGGATGCAAAAATATTTCCTGTTTTCTGTCCTGCATTGTGGCTTGTTGAGCCTGAGACTGTTGATCCTAGTTTGTGTTAAATCTAACCTTTTGAAACGATCTGGACCAGTATCCTCCAAATTGTTCAGTATTTTATAAGTTTCGACGACATCAACTCTGCCATGTCTGATTTGCAGTGTAGGTAGCCTTGTGGCCCCTCCACTGTTCCTGTTATGAAAGTCGACTGAGTTTAGGAATGATTTTAGTCGGTCGACGTTAAACTTTCTCTAAAGCAGAGATTTCTATCTGAAGATGAAGTCTCCATGCTTGGGTATAATAATCTAAATAGGGCGCACCAAAGAATTATAGTTGTTTAATTATCTTTTCTCTGAAATCAAAATTTCATTTGACTATTCCTAGGATTTGGTTTACTTTTTTAACTGCAGCTCTCACTTATTGTGGTACATTCAGTGAACGGTGGATTCTGACGTCAAGATCCTTTTCTTCATCAATATACTGCAAGCTATCGTTGATTTGGTAGTTGTGCACTGTTATGCCTCACATGCAAGATCTTGCATTTTCGATATTAATTAGTATTTGCCAGTCTTCCGACCACTTTTTGTGGAGTTCATGTAGATATCTTCGTAAGGCCTCAATGTCATTGTCACTTCCTACTTTATCATAAATCGTGTGTCATCTACAATTTTGATGATGTGGTTTGTAATATTCCCATTATGTCATTGAAATATATGACAAGAAAGGAATGGGCCCAAAATGGTCCCTTGCGGTACCCCCCTTACCACATTTCTCTAATCAGATTCATTTCCGTTTTGGATGACCCTTTGCCTTCTTTGTTTTAGCCATTGTTTTATCTATTCTAGTATTCTACCATTTATTCCATGTGCCTATAATTTCCTTGTCAGTCTTTCATGCGGTACCTTATCAAAGATTTTAGCGAAGTTCATATTCACTACATCTGTGCTGGGAGTCCTTTGTATGAATTGTTGGTTACAGTTTCCAAAATTGTGAGCAAGTTTGAAGACAGGATTTATTTTTAACAAAATCATGTTGAGACATAAGCGTCACTTAATTGTTTGTTGTCAACTGTTAGATATATTTGGTCAAGACACACATATTCCCTTCATACAATGTTTTGTGACAGATGCCATCCAACAAGTACATTGTCAAAATACTAGAAGTAGTGTTTACAGACGGTGTTTAACATACAGTTAAGCATACAGTGCAACATGTAGCGAACAACATAACAGCAGACTTACAGTGAAGCATGAATACAGAGTAACATGCACAGTAGTTCATAATGAGGGGAGGGTTGAGAAGGAAGGCGCAAATACCAGTACAAGACACCGACAACAAATGTCTCCATTACATTACTAAGAATGAATATTATGTGCAGGTGAGAAGTGTGGGAGGTGAAACGGTGTGGTTACTTTCTATGGCAGCCGTGTCATACGTATAAGATGCGAGAGAGTGTGTGTCCCTCCTACAGAAGCCGTGAAAGACCCAGCGCCCCCAACAATACAGCACAAATCACCAAACTCACTTGTACTCCATCAGAATTTCTCGTACCGCAGCTGGGGGCAGGTTCCTGGGTTGTGGTAGTAGTCGGGAGAGTGGTGGTGGCAGTAGCATCCGCGGTTGTTGTATTGATGGTGGTAGTAGCATTGACGGTGGTAGAATAGTCTTGAGGAAGGAGGCAGCAGACCAGGCTTGGGTCCTCGCAGACTCCATTAGCGAGAGGCTCGATGTGGGGACGTGTCCCAGATCGAACGTCTAAGAGGCCGACGCCATGGGTGATGATGTAGCCATCATCATCACACTGGAAGTATTGCACGCACTCACAGTTCTTTGTGGCGAGGGAGCTGGTCTGTGGGGTGGGGCCCGCTGTGGCAGCGTCGAGCGCACAGCACACAGACAACACTTGGAGGCACTTCGAGTGGGAGAAATGGAGGCCCCATAACTCCAGTGTAGTGTTGCCAAGCCCGTCACTCACTAGCCGGTCATTCGTACAGTTGATGAAAGGAACGCACTCACAGGGTGTGTCTGGGGCCAGTGTTGGCTGGGAAGTGGTGGCTGTTGTTGCTGTTTGATTTGGCGGAAGACCGCAGCAGACGTCGAAATCGTTGGGACACTTGTCGACGTTGGTGACTGGCGGGAACTCGTCGGAAGAGCGGATGTCGAGCAGACCTTCTCCTGAGGTGCTGATGACACCATCAATACAAAGGAAGTACTTGACACACTCGCAGTACACAGCCTCATGGAGGGTGGTGGTGGTGGGGGGAGTGGGTGTTGTGAACTTCTGCAACCACCAGAAGCTACCATCAGCCTGGGCCTCCACCCCCGCCATCAGCACCATCACCGACCCCAGCATCCTCACCGTCAACATCTGCAGTGAAGATGTATAGGATTAGTTAACGTAAGATATGCAAGCGTGTACACTTTAGCCTACAGCTTGATGTACGCCCTACATTCTAAAACCTAATATAGGAAATTACAAAAAACATATTTGCTCATGCGAGGCAACGCCTATTTATTATCAACCAAACATTCACATATGTCTAACTTACGCTTGCAACAATATATACACAGGGTGGTGCAAGAGTTTGGGTCCAAAGCCGGTCCATATGGAAATAAGGTTTCATATTAAATAAAATATGCTTAACTATAGACACCAAACCCCACAAGTTTACAAATAAAAAAATAGGGTGGAGGGGGGAGGGGAAGAAAGAATGGAGAAGAGGACAAAAATAAATGTGCAATATATAGGTGTGATGGATGTTGAATGGAGTGAGAAGAGGAAGTAGGGTGGGAGGTAGGGAGGGAGTAGGCAGTGGAGGGAGTGGGAGTGGGTGGTGGAGGGGGTTGGCGGTGGTGGAAGAGGAAGGGGGCGAGAGAGAAGGGTGGTGGAGGAGGGGGAAGGCAGCCGTATCAGACTCAGAACACGCGACCCTGGGCTGCACTCCCTGGCCTCCAGAGGAAGGGAAGGTCCACCTCCTTCAGTAGGAGGGGGGCGGAGAGCCAAGTGATGGGTTCAGGGTGTAGAACCAACCTCTCAATCATGTCTATCCATCAATCACCTCCAATACCACCTGTGCGTGCTGGGGAGTGTGTTCCGGACGACCAGGAGGCCAAATAATTGGCTCCAAAACTTCTTTGAATAAAGGATAGAAATACACTAAGTACGTTCCAGGAAAAATATGAGACTAAGTGTGTTCCAGAAGGATAGTAGGCAGACTAATAGTGTTGTGTATCTTCGTATCACTTTCGTCACACGTGCCTCTTGCCTGCTCAATATATTCACGGTGACACTGCCCGAGGTGCCAGCTTAACAGCCTCACGACACCCACAGGTTCCCATTTCCTCTCCTTTTATTCTCCTCACAAGTAACATTTATATTTCCCTCTCCTTCCCTATCTAAGTGTGGACTTCCTGCAGGCCAAGTCGGCTGGAAAAATGACGGCTAACATGCTTGTAGTGGCGAAAAATGGCGTCTAGATTGCTCCGAGACTTAATGTTGTATGTGTCATGTGTTGCAATATCCCTGGTCGGGGTGGGGGGGGGAGGAGGAGGGAGGAAGAGGGAGGAAGAGGGGAGGAAGAGGGGAGGAAGAGGGGAGGAAGAGGGAGGAAGAGGGAGGAAGAGGGAGGAAGAGGGAGAGAGGAAGTGAGAGAGCACGTCACCGCAGGCACCATATAACATCAAGGTCATCATCTAAGGTCACAAACGTACTTGACACCCAAGAATGTCCCCCACCGTAGCGCAGCGGTCTACATCAAATGTCTATTTCAGGTAAAAGTACATACATACAAGATGAGTTACTAACAATGTTGGATTTCTAGATAGAGCTAGTACATACAATGCCTAAAGTCACTAATACGCACAGCGTTTCGGGCAAGGTTTGGGGGGAAAATACAGTCAAACTTAATTTATGCTTTGATCTCAATTAGTATTGAGCTTAAAAAAGGAAAAAAAATGTCGGAAATCAGTAGTTATACAAGTTGGTCAACAAACAGTATTGTTTGAAAATAACAAGACATGGGTTGACATTAAGGGGCTAAGGTACGTTACATGGAGTTTATTAGGTAGTACTTAGTTTTCATCTTAAACTGGTTGAGAGAGGTACAGCCTTTGACGTGATTGGGAAGGTCATTCCACATTCTGGGTACCTTGATTTGCAGAGCATTTCTAGTTCAGTTAAGTCGCACTCTTGGAATATCAAATAGGTATTTGTTTCTAGTGTGGTGCCCATGGGTTCTGTTACAACCTTCCAGGAAGCGTTTAAGGTCAAGACTGGCATTACAGTTCAGAGTTTTAAATATATAGAGTACACTTGAGAGGATGTGCAGTGACTTAATATCTAACATTCAGAGATTTAACTAAGGGTACCGAGTGATGTCTGGAGCCAGAGTTGGATATTGTCCTAATAACAGCTTTGTGTTGAGTAATTAGAGAACGTAGATGATTTTGGGTAGTAGAACCCCAAGCACAAATACCATAGTTGAGATAAGGATAGATGAGAGAGTAATAGAGCGTCACCAGGGCAGGGCGAGTTACATAATATCTGATCTTAGAAAGAATGCCAACAGTTTCAGAAACTTTTTTTTGCTATATTTTGAATGTGCGCTGAAAATTCAGTTTGTTATCGATGAGAACACCAAGGAATTTACCATCTAATTTGTTACTAATTTGGATATTGTTTATTCTTAGATTAATTTGATCTAAGGATTTATTACCAAACGAAATATAGAAGGTTTTGTCAATGTTAAGGGTGAGTTTGTTAGCAGTTAGCCAAAGATGGAAAAGTTGTTGGTGGTTGACAGTGTCAAAAGCTTTATGTAGGTCAACAAATAACCCAACAGGGAAATAATTTTTATCAAGAGCTGCATGTATCAAGTTAATCATACTAATCAGTGAATCGTTAGTGCTCTTTTTTTGGGTCTGAACATCGTCGGCCATGTTTCGTTTCACCTGATGCTTCTGTTTACCTGGCAGCAAATAGGTACTCGGGAGTTAGACACCAGTTGTGTGTTGTATCCTGGGGAAGCTCGCCCTAGGGGACCCCGGTCGATAACCCTAGCAGGCTTCCTGTCCCCCATCAGAGAAGAGCCAAGACAAATGTTAAAGTGATTAGGCTATTGTACAACTTGATGTTTTTGGAACTATTAATATTAACACATTATTATGATCTAAGGTGACACTGGGGGCCATGGTCTAAGGTGACACTGGGGGCCCATGATCTAAGGTGACACTGGAGGCCATGGTCTAAGGTGACACTGGGGGCCCATGATCTAAGGTGACATTGGGGACCATGATCTAAGGTGACACTGGGGGCCATGGTCTAAGGTGACACTGGGGGCCCATGATCTAAGGTGACATTGGGGACCATGATCTAAGGTGACACTGGGGGCCATGGTCTAAGGTGACACTGGGGGTCATGATCTAAGGTGACACTGGGGGCCATGATCTAAGGTGACACTGGGGGCCCATGATCTAAGGTGACACTGGGGGCCCATGATCTAAGGTGATACTGGGGGCCATGATCTAAGGTGACATTGGGGGCCCATGAACTAAGGTGACACTGAGGCCATGATCTAAGGTGACACTGGGGGGCCATGATCTAAGATGACACTGGGGGCCATGATCTAGGATGACACTGTGGGCCATGATCTAAGGTGACACTGGGGGCCATGATCTAAGATGACACTGGGGGCCATGATCTAAGATGACACTGGGGGCCATGATCTAAGATGACACTAGGGGCCATGATCTAAGATGACACTGGGGGCCATGATCTAAGGTGACACTGACACTGGGGGCCATGATCTAAGGTGACACTGGGGGCCATGATCTAAGGTGACACTGGGGGCCATGATCTAAGGTGACACTGAGGCCATGATCTAAGGTGACACTGGGGGGCCATGATCTAAGATGACACTAGGGGCCATGATCTAAGATGACACTAGGGGCCATGATCTAAGATGACACTGGGGGCCATGATCTAAGATGACACTGGGGGCCATGATCTAAGGTGACACTGGGGGCCATGATCTAATGTGACACTGTGATCTAAGCACTGGGGCATGATCTAAGGTGACACTGGGGCCCATGATCTAAGGTGACACTGGGGGCCATGATCTAAGGTGATACTGTGGCCTATGATCTAAGATCTAAGTGACACTGGGGGCCATGATCTAAGGTGACATTGGGGGGGGACCATGATCTATGAACTGGGGGCCAAGGTGACACTGAGATCTAAGCCATGATCTAAGGTGACACTGGGGGGGGGCCATGATCTAAGATGACACTGGGGGCCATGATCTAAGATGACACTGTGGGCCATGATCTAAGGTGACACTGGGGGCCATGATCTAAGATGACACTGGGAGCCATGATCTAAGATGACACTAGGGGCCATGATCTAAGGTGACACTGTGGGCCATGATCTAAGGTGACACTGGGGGCCATGATCTAAGATGACACTGGGGGCCATGATCTAAGATGACACTAGGGGCCATGATCTAAGATGACACTGGGGGCCATGATCTAAGGTGACACTGGGGGCCATGATCTAAGGTGACACTGGGGGCCATGATCTAAGGTGACACTGGGGGCCATGATCTAAGGTGACACTGTGGCCCATGATCTAAGGTGACACTGGGGGCCATGATCTAACATGACACTGGGGGCCATGCTCTAAGATGACACTAGGGGCCATGATCTAAGATGACACTAGGGGCCATGATCTAAGATGACACTGGGGGCCATAATCTAAGATGACACTGGGGGCCATGATCTAAGGTGACACTGGGGACCATGATCTAAGATGACACTGGGGGCCCATGATCTAAGGTGACACTGTGGGCCATGATCTAAGATGACACTGTGGCCCATAATCTAAGATGACACTGGGGGCCATGATCTAAGGTGACACATGAGGCCATGGTCTAAGATGACACTGGGGGCCATGATCTAAGATGACACTGGGGCCCATGATCTAAGATGACACTGGGGGCCATGATCTAAGATGACACTGGGGGGCCATGATCTAAGATGACACTGGGAGCCATGATCTAAGATGACACTGGGGGCCATGATCTAAGATGACACTGGGGGCCATGATCTAAGATGACACTGTGGCCCATGATCTAAGATGACACTGGGGGCCATGATCTAAGGTGACACTGGGGGCCATGGTCTAAGATGACACTGGGGGCCATGATCTAAGATGACACTGGGGCCCATGATCTAAGATGACACTGGGGGCCATGATCTAAGATGACACTGGGGCCCCATGATCTAAGGTGACACTGGGGGCCATGATCTAACATGACACTGGGGGCAATGATCTAACATGACACTGGGGCCCATGATCTAAGGTGACACTGGGGGCCATGATCTAACATGACACTGGGGGCCATGATCTAACATGACACTGGGGCCCATGATCTAAGGTGACACATGAGGCCATGGTCTAAGATGACACTGGGGGCCATGATCTAAGGTGACACTGGGGGCCATGATCTAAGATGACACTGGGGCCCATGATCTAAGGTAATACTGGGGGCCATGATCTAACATGACACTGGGGCCCATGATCTAAGGTGACACATGAGGCCATGGTCTAAGATGACACTGGGGGCCATGATCTAAGATGACTCTGGGGGCCATGATCTAACATGACACTGGGGCCCATGATCTAAGGTGACACTGGGGGCCATGATCTAACATGACACTGGGGGCCATGATCTAAGGTGACACATGAGGCCATGATCTAAGATGACACTGGGGCCCCATGATCTAAGATGACACTGGGGGCCATGATCTAAGGTGACACATGGGGCCATGGTCTAAGATGACACTGGGGGCCATGATCTAAGATGACACTGGGAGCCATGATCTAAGATGACACTGGGGCCCATGATCTAAGATGACACTGGGGGCCCATGATCTAAGGTGATGGGGGCCATGATCTAAGATGACACTGTGGCCCATAATCTAAGGTAACACTGGGGGCCATGATCTAAGGTGACACATGGGGCCATGGTCTAAGATGACACTGGGGGCCATGATCTAAGATGACTGGGGGCCATGGATGACTCTGGGGGCCATGATCTAAGATGACTCTGGGGACCATGATCTAAGATGACACTGTGGCCCATGATCTAAGGTGACACTGGGGGCCATGATCTAAGGTGACACTGGGGGCCATGATCTAAGGTGACACATGAGGCCATGGTCTAAGATGACACTGGGGCCATGATCTAAGATGACACTGGGAGCCATGATCTAAGATAACACTGGGGCCCATGATCTAAGATGACACTGTGGCCCATAATCTAAGATGACACTGGGGGCCATGATCTAAGGTGACACATGGGGCCATGGTCTAAGATGACACTGGGGGCCATGATCTAAGATGACTCTGGGGACCATGATCTAAGATGACACTGGGGGCCATGATCTAAGATAACACTGGGGCCCATGATCTAAGATGACACTGGGGGCCATGATCTAAGATGACACTGGGGGCCTATGATCTAAGGTGACACTGGGGGCCATGATCTAAGATGACACTGTGACCCATAATCTAAGGTAACACTGGGGGCCATGATCTAAGGTGACACATGGGGCCATGGTCTAAGATGACACTGGGGGCCATGATCTAAGATGACACTGAGGCCCATGATCTAAGGTGACACTGGGGGCCATGGTCTAAGGTGACACTGGGGGCCATGCTCTAAGATGACACTGGGGGCCATGATCTAAGATGACACTGTGGCCCATGTTCTAAGATGACACTGGGGCCCCATGATCTAAGGTGACACTGGGGGCCATGGTCTAAGGTGACACTGGGGGCCATGCTCTAAGATGACACTGGGGGCCATGATCTAAGGTGACACATGGGGCCATGGTCTAAGATGACACTGGGGGCCCTATGATCTAAGGTGACACTGGAGGAGTTGTACTGCAATCTTTTATAAATACTTGGAGAAGAACTGGCGAACGTCCACAATGACGAGAGTAACGCAACCGACCTTTTTACATCCAAAGTTCCGTGACGCCTGAAAATACTCCCGTAAATAAAGCAAGAGACTTACACTTGCCATTTCTAAGCCAGGATGGAATATTGACATCGAAAAGTCGAGACAAAAGTTGTTCACAGTTGCAGCAGGTGGTGTTTCCTGGCGGGGGTCGTGGCTGGTTCTGGCTGAGGTTGGCGAGGACGCCACATTATAAGGGGGCAGGATGGGGCCGGGCCAGGATGTGTCACAGCGTCTCCACTGTGTGACACTCACTCACTTAGCTAAGTTGCCTTGGCTGCCCTTGACACACACACACACATCACTTGTGGAATATTGTAAGGGGAACATTTTCCTTCTGGCTAAAACCGATTATTATTTCACCTGTCCCGTCCCCTGGTTCCACCTGTCCCGTCCCCTGGTTCCACCTGTCCCGTCCCCTGGTTCCACCTGTCCCGTCCCCTGGTTCCACCTGTCCCGTCCCCTGGTTCCACCTGTACCGTCCCCTGGTTCCACCTGTCCCGTCCCCTGGTTCCACCTGTCCCGTCCCCTGGTTCCACCTGTCCCGTCCCCTGGTTCCACCTGTCCCGTCCCCTGGTTCCACCTGTCCCGTCCCCTGGTTCCACCTGTCCCATCCCCTGGTTCCACCTGTCCCGTCCCCTGGTTCCACCTGTCCCGTCCCCTGGTTCCACCTGTCCCGTCCCCTGGTTCCATCTGTCCCGTCCCCTGGTTCCACCTGTCCCGTCCCCTGGTTCCACCTGTCCCGTCCCCTGGTTCCATCTGTCCCGTCCCCTGGTTCCACCTGTCCCGTCCCCTGGTTCCACCTGTCCCGTCCCCTGGTTCCATCTGTCCCGTCCCCTGGTTCCACCTGTCCCGTCCCCTGGTTCCATCTGTCCCGTCCCTAGCCCCACTTGTGTTTTTACCTGAATAAACACACACACCATCGCTGCGCCTCCACTATATATCGATCAGGATATAACAAACACGATAGCAACGGAAGCCTCAGGTGCGAGACCGACCTGTGAGGATAACACAAAATACAGTACATTAATTTTTTTTTGTGAACTGCGCTGAAAAGATCAACAAGTTTGCTAAACTAAATATCAACTGAGGTTAGGAAGCCCTGAGAGCCACTCGCCATAGGACTTGTTATCAAAGGGAGCACTTGAGTGTTAAAATACGTAGCCTTCAGTAACTATCACTCAAGCAGCACGCCGGCGAGACTAATAAGGAGAAGAACGACTTATTTCCAGCACGAACGTTTAGATATGTAATTACATGGTAGGGAGTCAGGTGTTTCTCCACCGACTGGAAGTGACGTCAGGTATTTATGTCGGAAATCTCCATACACTGTTGTTGGAAAATATGTAACGGATATATCCAGCATACTCACACGTCTTGTTAAATGCTCTGGTGCCGGGATATTAACAAACCAACATCTTATGAATAACATTAATGCATTACACAGAGAAATCACATTAACGTGATATATCAAAGAAATCCACAGGAGCCTTGATGGGGGGATTCGAACCTGTGCACTCCTGTGACTAGAGCGAGTCTGGGGAACACTCGGCGCACAAGTTCGAGCCCTCATCATGTGGATTTGTTCATTAACACATTAGTCATGATACAATGACATGTTCTCATCAGTCATTGTATCATGACATGATACCAACCCATCCACTAAAAGTGATATGTATTGTGCCTGTGGATGTAATGTACAACATATGTACTTTTGCACATAAAAGCCCACTTTTTTACTAATGGTACACTAAAGGAAAAACAATTTACAACAGTCAAAGCCATCATCCTAATCTAGGCCTAAAAATGCAAGCCTAGGTCTAATATATGCAATCATAGGCCTAATTAAGAATATGCATTATACTATGCCAAAGAAAGGCTAGAATTGATTGCTGTCTGCTTTATCGAGGCCCCTTACAAATGTGGACAATCAGGGTCAGGTTAGGCAGTGGCGGGTGTGGCCAGCAGTTGGCTAACACGTGGTCAACACTGGCGGGGCCTCGAGGAGCCCCACACGCCTCCCGTCCTCCACCAATGGTATTCCAGTACGAGACAGACGACAGAGTCGTCTCCGCCTGTCTCTCCAGACAGAGAGAGACAGAAATAATGGGAGGAAAGGAATATTTTTGGAATAGGCACCTTATAACAACTACTGTGGCAAGAGACATGGCAGGAAATGCAGACCAGACCCCAGTGTGAAGTAGAAATGCTAGAGAACGCTGTGTGAACACCAGAGGTCCAAGCAACTACAACCTACTCCCACCACCAAATATCAAAGAGTGCCAGATCAAAAGTGGATGTTTTCAAGTGTAAATATAGCAAATTTCCACAGGAGGTGCTACATCAGCCGGGATCAGATTATGAGTCTGCACGCCGTTCCAAGCAACAGCCTAATTGATCGAGTTATCACACGACAAGTCTGGCAAGCATGCAGTGTTCAACAGGTTGCAACACACAAGGATGGGGGGAGGGGGCATGACTATGGACATAGCGCAAGGGACAGTTCCTCCCCCAAACTGGAGCCCCAGTTACAACAATGGAACTGTATCAAAGAAACCTGGGGCACTAGAACACAACCCCTGGAGCACTAGAACACAACCCCTGGAGCACAACCATACACGAACCGGAGCACAACAAGTCTCACCTCCGGAGCCCGACCAGAAGCGTACAGATGAGAACGTAGTTGAAAAAATGAGGACAGACAAAAGGTTGGAAAGGACTACCTATTTATTTATTTATTTATTTATTTATTTATATATATACAAGAAGGTACATTGGGATTGTGAGGATACATAGCATAGTAATTACATTCTTGTAAAGCCACTAGTACGCGCAGCGTTTCGGGCAGGTCCTTAATCTAAGAAACTTATAAGTAGGTAAATATTTGCAAAACCTATAGGACCTAGGCCCTAAGCCAATAGCTGACTTTCCACAAATTGCAACATAATGCAATCCACAACAATTGTGTAACTCCCAAGTGCCTATTTTACTGCTTGGTAAACAGAGGCATCAGGTAAAATGAAACGTGCCCAACCGTTTCTATCCTGCCCGGGGAATGAACGCGGGACCGTCGGTTATAATCCGAGAACGTAGACTACTCTGCTACAGGTTCCTCCTAAATATAGGAATACATGGTAAATAAAGTAGGTTTCAGGACCATTTAAGTGGCAGCTGTGAGCCTGTTGTGGGTTAGTACCAGGAGACACCTGGAGGAGAACAACTGTTGTGGGTTAGTACCAGGAGACACCTGGAGGAGAACAACTGTTGTGGGTTAGTACCAGGAGACACCTGGAGGAGAACAACTGTTGTGGGTTAGTACCAGGAGACACCTGGAGGAGAACAACTGTTGTGGGTTAGTACCAGGAGACACCTGGAGGAGAACAACTGTTGTGGGTTAGTACCAGGAGACACCTGGAGGAGAACAACTGTTGTGGGTTAGTACCAGGAGACACCTGGAGGAGAACAAGTACCAGGAGACACCTGGAGGAGAACAACTTTGTGGGTTAGTACCAGGAGACACCTGGAGGAGAACAACTGTTGTGGGTTAGTACCAGGAGACACCTGGAGGAGAACAACTGTTGTGGGTTAGTACCAGGAGACACCTGGAGGAGAACAACTGTTGTGGGTTAGTACCAGGAGACACCTGGAGGAGAACAACTGTTGTGGGTTAGTACCAGGAGACACCTGGAGGAGAACAACTGTTGTGGGTTAGTACCAGGAGACACCTGGAGGAGAACAACTGTTGTGGGTTAGTACCAGGAGACACCTGGAGGAGAACAACTGTTGTGGGTTAGTACCAGGAGACACCTGGAGGAGAACAACTGTTGTGGGTTAGTACCAGGAGACACCTGGAGGAGAACAACTGTTGTGGGTTAGTACCAGGAGACACCTGGAGGAGAACAACTGTTGTGGGTTAGTACCAGGAGACAGGAGAACAACTGTTGTGGGTTAGTACCAGGAGACACCTGGAGGAGAACAACTGTTGTGGGTTAGTACCAGGAGACACCTGGAGGAGAACAACTGTTGTGGGTTAGTACCAGGAGACACCTGGAGGAGAACAACTGTTGTGGGTTAGTACCAGGAGACACCTGGAGGAGAACAACTGTTGTGGGTTAGTACCAGGAGACACCTGGAGGAGAACAACTGTTGTGGGTTAGTACCAGGAGACACCTGGAGGAGAACAACTGTTGTGGGTTAGTACCAGGAGACACCTGGAGGAGAACAACTGTTGTGGGTTAGTACCAGGAGACACCTGGAGGAGAACAACTGTTGTGGGTTAGTACCAGGAGACACCTGGAGGAGAACAACTTCTTGTTAGCAAGTTGCTCAACTATTGCAGTGAAAAAAATATGTACATTGGACTTCCCTTGGTCACTAACCTTCGTTTTTGTTAGCTATTAACTTTATGAAATAATATTACCTTACATGTGAGAAAAAGCTGATGTTGAATGCGTAGTGGGTTAACATTGACGCATGCCTCGTTGGGTTGGGCCGCCGCCTGGACGAGCCTGGCATGAGGACAGGCACTTCAACCCGTCCTCTTATATATCACTTTGCTCACTGAGCATTTCAGTGCTCTCACTGAGCATATTTCCCGAACAAACGTAGACATCTTTAAGAGAAAACTAGACAGTTTTCTTCAAGAAGTGCCGGACCAACCGGACTGTAGTGGATATGTGGGCCTGCGGGCCGCTCCAAGCAGCAGCCTGTTGGACCAAGCTCTCAAGTACAGCCTGGCCTCGGGCCGGGCTTGGGCAGTAGAAGAACTCCCTGAACCCCTATCCAGGTACAACTCTTTTTTTTTTTAGATATATACAAGAGTTGTTACATTCATGTACAGCCACTAATACGCGTAGCGTTTCGGGCAGGTCCCTGGAATACGATCCCCTGCCGCGAAGAATCGTTTTTTCATCCAAGTACACATTTTACTGTTGTGTTAAACAGAGGCTACAGTTAAGGAATTGCGCCCAGTAAATCCTCCCCGGCCAGGATACGAACCCATGACATAGCGCTCGCGGAACGCCAGGCGAGTGTCTTACCACTACACCACGGATACTGTCCAAAAACCTAACCCAATTACGCTGCAATGCGCTAATTATACATAGAATATAGAATATTAATTTATATACGAGAAAATATTTTTAATACAC